CGATACTCAGTGTGCGCACCATTGCATGGGCGGCCAGCGTAGGGACCCGCTCGAATGATGTAGGTACAGGGAATAGAACCCCCAGACGCCCCACGCCCCGCATACCAGTCATGGAGCTGCTGGGACGAGGGGGCCTGGTGCTGGCGCCGCTGCTGCTGCTGCCGCCGCTGCTGCTGCCGCCGCTGCTGCTGCTGCTGCTGCTGCTGCTGCTGTTGCTGCTGCTGCTGCTGCTGCTGCTGCTGCTGCTGTTGCTTCTGCTGCTGCTGCTGCTGCTGCTTCTGCTGCTGCTGCTGCTGCTGCTGCTGCTGTCCCTGGCCACCGCCACTGCCACCACTACCGGCTCCTCCCCCACCACCGCCGCTGCCACCGCCACTGCTCCCGGTACCACCGCCGCCCCCCCCACCAGCTCCACCCCCACGACCACCCCCACCACCTCCACCTCCCCCGCCGCATCCACCATCGCCCCATCCACTGCCACGTCCACCACCCTTGCCGCCCCTGCCTCCCTTAGGGCCGCTGCGCTTCCCACTAGGAGCGGAAGCAGCTGCGACCTTCTCAGCACCAAGGAAGTCGACAGCAGCAGCAGCAGAGGCGTGGGAGGGGGTAAGGGGGGAGGGGGAGCACCCCTCAAAGAGGGGAGTGCGAGGAGTGCCACGAGCCGCACCCACAGCAAGGATGTTCTTCTCAGCTGCGAGAAGCTGCGTCGCGAAGTCGTCGACGGTGAGAGCGGTAGGGTCCAAAGCGAGTAAGTGGTCCCTGACCAAGCGAAGCCTGTCAGTGAGGCGGGTGACAAGGAAGTAGATCGTAAAGTACATCGGAGGGGTGTTCTTGGCGAGGAACTCGTCCTTAAGGGCGGACCGAAAGCGAGCGTCACTAGCGCGCAGGTGAGCGATGAGGTCCTCAGCAGTGTGAAACGAGGACAGGTCGGGGAACAGGTAGGGTAGCATGAGACGACCTAGGGCTGCAGTGGCCGGGGAGGAGTAGCGCGCAACTACAGCGTCATACAGTGCCTTAGCAGTCTTGTGCTGGCTAAGATGCACGCGCTCGGGGATCGGCAGGTGATTGCGAATAGCGAGGCGTGCAGCAGCATCGCGAGTCTGCCACTGTGAGAGGTCGAGCGCAGGAGCATCAGCAGCAGGTTCAGGGGCAGTGCCAGATGCGTGAGCGAACAGGGAAACGCCGTCTTTGGCATCAGTCATAAGAAACAGTTGGAGATCGTCGAGCCACACTGTGAACTCGATCGGGCTACCGTCAGGCTCAAACGCGAGAATGTGAGGCGTCGTCATAGTCGCAATGCTGAGAAATGCAGCAGGAACCGGCAGTAGGCAAAGGCAGCAGACTTAGGCGGCAGGCAGGCTCGGAAGATAGGCCGGCGCACTCCAGGCAGGCAGACACAAGGCAGGCAGACACAAGGCAGGCAGACACAAGGCAGGCAGGCGCTCAAGGCAGGCAGGCGCTCAAGGCAGGCAGGCGCTCAAGGCAGGCAGGCGCTCAAGGCAGGCAGGCGCTCAAGGCAGGCAGGCGCTCAAGGCAGGCAGGCGCTCAAGGCAGGCAGGCGCTCAAGGCAGGCAGGCGCTCAAGGCAGGCAGGCGCTCAAGGCAGGCAGGCAGGCACGCAGCAGGCAAAGAGAGACTGTGCACAGAGCCATAGAGGGAGCGCGCGAGCAGGAGGGTCGACGCGCAAAGCAGCTGCAGGCGCCGCAGGTAGCGCACGAGGCAGCAGTAGGGCGCGCGCAGGTGGTGGAGGCGCGGCGCGAGCAGGTAAGGCGGCACGCAGAGCAGCGGCGGGCCGGGCGCGGGCAAGCAGGGCGCGGCGCGAGCTGCGCGGGCGGTGCGGGCTGCGCGGGCTCGGTGCGGGCTACGCGGGCTCGGCGCGGGCTGCGCGGGCGGTGCGCGGGGCAGCTGCGGGCCGCGCGCGGGCTGCGCGGGCTCAGGGCGGGCTGCGCGATACAAAAGGGAAACCCTAAGGGGTTATACCACATTACAGCCTACCAACAAATATAACATATTCATATGTTTGACACCCATGCCCCGCTGTACTTGCTGATGTCAGCACTGTTCCAAAGCCAAAAGCGCACCATCGCTTGAAGAGATACACTATACAATGCAAGAGATCCGTGGGCATAATTGATCGGGAGGGAGGGCGATCCGGTTTAAAGCCGTCCTCCCCTGCCCATAATTATATTACCTGCTCCACCTGGCGCCAACGTTTCTTGTTCTGGGAAGCAAACGTGAAGCGCTTTATGTTTGACGCGTCAAATTCAACCTAATAGTAGTGCACACTTACTTGGCTTGGGGGTGAGCTGGCTGGTGCATAGGGTTTCTTGCAACCTGGCCACGACGCGACTCGCCTGGTTCACATTGCCTCTCGCGACCAGCTTGCATGAGGCGATTGAGGAACGGCTGCAGAAACTCAACTCCGCTTCAGCTGCTTCCCCCCCAGAAACCAGCTTGCTGCGACTTTCGGGAGTCACGGAATCGCCAAAAGCAATCAACGCTGCAACACTTGCAATGCTCTCCGCGGGTCTTACAGGTCGTCGCCCAATCAGCTGACATTGTTACACTAGGTTTGCACTCTGGTCCCTGGTGTAAGAGTACGTGGACGTTCGACATACTTCTCATTTCCATATTTTAACTTTATCTTATTCTCCTTATTTTCCTCTTTCATTTGCACTTTATTTCACCTCAATCGGACTACTATTCTATTTTCTAGAGCTTTCCAACTATTTCACTTATTTTGTATTGTCGGCACCGACAATTACATTATACGGCACCGACAGCACCGACGGTGGTGTACAAGGCGTAATCTCGCCATAATCCAATGTGCCAATGGGCTTGCGTGCTTATGCGCACTAGTGATTATCTATCCTATGAGAGCGCGTTCCCGAAGGTTCGGATTATCGCTTGTTTCTATGTATTTCTAAGTATAAATACGCCTTGTACTCACCTTTAGTGCAACATTCTCGAGTGGAAATTCGATCCTGTGACACTTGGTATTCAGCTAAGCGCGCGACAGCAAATTCCCTGCTTAAAAAAACCGCTGGGGGCGACGAGTTCGGCGCCGACGCTGGTAAGCACCAGAATCCGCTTTTTTTGAATGACCCCCCTCGCGCGTTTTTTGAGCAGGTCCGAAAGTTCAGTTTTCTGGCGACGACTTGGCGATATAGCGACGACAATCGCGAATGGTCAGGACCTATATCGAGCGGTGCAGAAACAGCAAGACCGACGCGCGACGGATCTAACGACTTCGGGTGAAAGCGCGCGTCATGGCGAAAATTGCGACAGCATCAGAATCGATCGTGACTTCGCAGCAGTCGTGACTTCGAGTGGGGGATTTCATCCGGATCAAGCCGAATAAGAGGGTGGCTTGGGCGGACCAGAACCAGAAATACAAGACCCTTTTCCGGGTCAAGGAGGTGGAGGCCTTCCATGTGGTGGTGGAGGCAAAAGGGGGAGTGGTCTGGCGGGAGTCCAGGGAGAATGTGAAGGTGGTGCCGGTGATCATTTGATTTAGACCCATCCCTAAAATTCTAGGGGTAGGCTAAGGCTCATCCAACCACATCCGACCCCTTTTCCTTGTGTCAGGAGCCACAAGACCGCATCCGAGAAAGTCACATGTGTAATTTAAAGACCAAAGTCACTAGCTAAATTGGTCTACGGGTCAGGTCCGTCCTCGGGGTTTCTATAACGAGGATGGATGGCCTATAGGGATTTAAACACTACTAGGGCAGAGCCGAGGAACATTGCTTAGGCATGCTAGGCCAATAGGGGAATGCCCCTTTGGCGAATGGTCGGTGACAAGCACCCTAGCTAGGGTAAAGAGGTCCGGTAGCCAATGGCTAATCACCTTGGGTCAATCCCTTGGTACGGACCTCGGCGGTAAAGCGCCTTGGCTAGATTAATTGATCCGGTAGCAAACCGCCTTGGGCTCGTCCCTTGGCGCGGATCTTGGTGGATGGATGCGTTGGATCTAGACGGCAGCATTTCTATAAGCTGCGTAGGTACCTTCGGTCGGAGGTATTCGGTTCGATAGCGACTCGCCTTGGGTCAATCCCTTGGCGCGAACGTCAGGAGCATTGAATCCGATCGGCAGCATATTTTATATGCTGCCGAGAGGATCGATCCAGATAGCGACGCGCCTTGGGTCAACCCCTCGGATGCGGACGTCAGGTACATTGGATCCGGTCGGCAGCATATTCCGAAACACCACAGCCTGGAGAAAACGGTCCGATTGGCAGAAAGCATATCTCTAGTAAGATGCCACGGATCGGTCCAGTAGCAAATCACCTTGGGCCCGACCCTTGGTGTGGACCTTGGTGGATACATTGGGTTTAGACGGCAGCATTTATCTAGTAGCAAATCACCACGGGCCCGTCCCTTGGTGTAGAGCTTGGTGGAATGCGTTGGATCTAGATGGCAGTATAGCCAGTCCGATAGCGGCTTGCCTGGGTACGAACCTTGGTGAGAGATGCGTCGGATTGGGCCGGCAGCATTTACCCCTGACTAAGCAAAGTGAACCCGCTAGGGGGATCTCGGAAAGTTCTAGGGATGAATCCTAGGGGAATGGCCCTCTAGGGATGGGCTAAATACAGTGGTTTGTATATGCCCTTCCACAATATAAGCCTAGAGAATCCTTGTGTGTAAACATAATCGATTAATGAGATCATTCTGCCCAAATCTCTTGCTACCAAGCTATCATAGTGGACGCACTCTGAGCCTTCTTGTACTACTCGGAGGTACTGCCGGCGGCCTAGTGACTAGGGGCGTGCTGTCGCTCTAAAGGAAGGATAGCCCGAAGAGTGGGGTTAGAGCTTCGATTAGAGGACCACGAGCGGTTGGAGAGGCGCCTAACGTGCCACACGGGTGGTATAGGACGGTTAGACCCTATAGGCGGACGCGTCTGTAGGACAGGAAATTTTAAAAGTTTCTAATTTTGTGGTGGCCCATACAGGTCCCTCTCTCCTTTTGGCTGAGAAAACGAACCCGACCCATCCGAGCATCATGTCGAGCATAGCCGCAGCCATGGGGCAGCTGCCGCGTTTTGATGGCCGTGCACCGGACCCTAAAGTGTGGATTAGTCAGGCTACACGTGCCATACGGTGTTTCCTATCCGCCGTAACCGAGGATCAGCAGTTGGATTACCTCCTTATGCACCTAACGGACTCTGCTTACGTGTGGGCAGAGAGTAAGGAGTTCACGACTGTGGCAGGCTTTGACAAGGCGTTTCGGGAGCGCTTTATTTGGGAGTCAACCGCGAATGTCATGCAGCGGCTGACGGGGCTGAAGCAGAAACCGGGTCAGACAGTGACGGAATTGGCGGATGAAGTGAGGCAGTTGGCGGCCTACGTCCCCAACTACCCGGTGGCTATGTCGGTGAGACATTTCATTGAGGGCCTGGGGGATAAAAGCTTGAGGGAGAAAGTGTTGGGTGGGAGGCCGGTCTCCCTGGAGGCAGCCGAGGAAGCTGCTAAATATTTTGTGTCCTATTCGCTACCTATGGGGATAGAGCCGGTGCCGGAAGCTGCTAAGGGAAAGGGCCTGGGGAATAAGGAATCCGAGGTGGATAAGATCACCAAGCAGCTGGAGAAGCTGAGCATCCAGTTGGCCCAGATGCAGCAGGGAAGGGGAGGCGGCTTACTCCCTAGGCCGGCAGGAGGCGGATTTAAATGCTACCAATATGGGCAGGAGGGACATATGGCTCGGGACTGCACCCAGAAGGGACGGACGGCGCTGAACGTCATGCAGCAGGTCCTGGAGGGAAAGGCCCCAACTATAGCCGAGTTCCTTAATGGGGAGGAAGGAAAGGTGGACATGCTGGTCGGACCCCGAAAGCGGCAGGCGGTCCGGGAGCCGGAAGGATGGGGAATTGACGAGGCAAGGGAAGAGCTAAGGAAAAAGCTGGCCGAATCTGGTGGAGCTGATGAAGCGGCTAAGGGGACCCGATTCGTACGGAGGCCACGGGTATCCGCCCTACCCAATTCATACAGCGTGGTGGACCAGCTGAAGCTCACCCCTGTGAGCGCCAGTGTATGGAATTACATAAGCGACAGTGATAAGGTGAGAAAGGAGCTTTTGGAGGCCCTGAAAATGACTGAGGATAAGGGGAAGGAGGATGGGGCAGCTGCCATGCAAGGGGTTTCGAAAGTGGTGGCAGCAGCTCCGCGGGAGACTAGGCACGAGGATCCGATCCCGAGCAACCTAGTTTTCCAAGTCCCACAATGCGATGTCCACCTAGGCAAGCATCGTCTGACTGCCATAGTCGATTCCGGAGCATCCCAGACGGCTCTCTCTCACGTCATCGCCAGGAAGTTAGGGTTGCTGCCCTACCTCCAGGATACCACAATAGAGTATACCACCTCTAGTGGCGAGACGTCGAAGCCGTGGGGAATTCTGCCTGACGTACCGGTCCGGGTGGGGAAGCTGACCCTCCCAATCGACATAGCAGTAACGGGGGCAAATACCTATGACATGCTGCTAGGACAGGACTGGATTTACTCGGCTAATGCGGATATCCTGACCAGCAAGGGGCAGATAGTGTACCGGGTCAATACCAAAGAGACAGACTCGGTTCCTATCACCACTGGACCCGTCGGCACGGGTGGCCGTCCCTCCTATGTGTCCCTCCCGCCCCAAACACCCCGCAGGAATGATCAAAAACCTTCTCAACATTGGTCCGGAATGGAGGAGGAGGAATTCCAGCGGTGGTTGGAGGAGAAGCAGCTCCTCCTGGCCGAAGAGCAGGGGCGCATCCGGCTGACGGAGGAGGAGGAGGCGGACTATTGGGCGTGGGTCCAGGAGGAGGAGGAGTTGGATCGGGCAGAGCTGGAGGTGCTGGAACTCAAGGAGCATGAGTTCTACGAAGAGCCCGAGGTGGACGGGCTCGATGGCATACCCGAAGGAGGTGAGCCAGAAGGAGAAGTCGGGACGGATGATGATATGCCTAGCCTCTTTGGGTCGGATGGTGAACACTATTCTGACCTGGGAGGTTCGGATGGGGATGAGATGGATGGGGAACCAAAATGGGACATGGGGTATGAGGAGGCAAGGAAAGCTGTGGAGGAAAAGGGGGAAATCACGGACCAGTGGGAAGTGGATTCGATGGCGGACGGGGAAGAGTACCTGGTGGAGGTCAAGGAGGAAGGGGAGCTGGTATACGAGGGGAATGGGCACCGGATCAGTCCGGACTACCTGTTCGAGCTATTCAATTACCCAGCAGCTGAACGTTGGCAATACATAGCAGCTGCAAAGGGGGATGAAGGACGGATAGTTCTCGGTAGTTATTACAGCCTCAAAAAGGAAGCCCCGAGAGTTGCCTGCCCTGCCTTCGAGGACCTGCCGGTGTCACTCAACCACGAATTGGGGATGGATCAGCAGACGGACCTGAGAATGCTGCTGGTGGAGTACCGGGAGGTCTTTGCTACTGAAGCAGAACCGCTAGGAACCCACCCCACCGTCCTCCATCATATCGCCACAGGGTCAGCCAAACCCATATCCCACAAGCCATACCGGGTGTCTCCCTCAGAACGGGCTCGGATAGAAGAGGGGGTAGCGGCCCTCTTAGAACAAGGCGTGATCCGACCCTCCAACAGCTCCTGGGCCTCCCCCTGCATCGTCATCCCGAAAAAGGATTTTGGTGATCGGGTGGTGATCGATTACCGGCCCCTCAACGCGGTGACTGAAGCGGCGGACCAGTTCCCCATGCCGAGAATCGATGACATCCTCGATCGGATGACCGGGTCCCTGTACTTCTCCGTTCTGGACGTCAAGTCGGCTTACCACACCATCCGGGTGGCCGAGGAGGACATCCCTAAGACTGCGTTTGTAACCTCCTCGGGCCAGTATGAGTATGTGCGGATGCCATTTGGTCTGAAAAATGCCCCTGCCACTTTCCAACGCCTCATGACCACCATCTTTCGCACCCATCTTAACGCCATCCCTTATCTCGATGATATTACAGTATTTTCCAACAGTTGGGAGGAGCATTTGGAGCACCTACGGGATGTCTTCGAACGGGTGAAGGCCAACCACCTGCTCCTCAAGCCCAACAAGTGTGAGCTGGGGTTCTACTCCACGATCTACTTGGGGCACATCGTGACACGGGATGGGGTGAAGCCGGATGCCGGGAAGGTGGAGGCAATCAGCGGCATGGTGGCGCCGACGGATGAAAAGGGGGTCCGGGAGTTCCTGGGGTGCACCAGTTACTACCGGCGGTTCATCAAGGGGTATGCGAAGGTGGCGCATCCCCTCACTCAACTGCTGCACACGGACCACCCGTTTGAGTGGACGGACGCATGTGAGAGGGCTTTTAACGCCCTCAAATTGGCCCTAATTTCCCCACCCATCCTCGCATTTCCAGATTTTTCCAATCCCTTTATCCTCCAGACGGATTTCTCTGCCACGGCCTTGGGGGCCATCCTAGCTCAAAAGGATGGAAAGGGAGCGGAACGGGTGGTGGCGTACGCAAGCCGTACGACGAGGGGAGCGGAAAGAAACCTGTCGTCCACTCACGGGGAGTGCTTGGCGGTGGTATGGGCGATCAAGCACTTTCGACCCTACCTCTATGGGAGCCGTTTCCTGCTGCAGACCGACCACCAGGCACTGCAGTGGTTAATGACGGCCAAGGATCTAACGGGGAAGCTGGCACGGTGGAGTCTACTCCTCCAGGAGTATGATTTTACCATTTCCTACCGACCTGGGGAAACACACCGGAATGTGGATGCACTTAGCCGGATGCACCAGGGGTTGCACCAACAGTCCGGGGGGGAGGCACTCTCACATGCACACTCACCTCCCCTGTCCCCCACCTCAAAACCCATTCCCATGTTCACAAATCTATTCCCACGATCACCCCCATCACCACCAGCTGGGGAAGGAAGCAGCAGCTCGGTTGATGGGGAAGGGGACGGCGGGGATAGTAGTGAGGAGGAGGATGGAGACGAGGTGAATGCCCATGAACCGGAGGAAATGAGCAGCAACACGGAAAAGCGGGAAGGGGAAGAAGAAGGAGAAGTCGTGCGAACCGGATCAGAGGAGTCCGGAGATGGAACCGGGGACGGATCTGGTAGCAGAAAGGATCATCTCCACACACGGCTGCCCGCTGGTCATCCATACTGACAACGGCCAGCATTTCCATGGGGAATTCGGGGTGCTGCTGGAAAAATTCGGGATTTATCACGAATTCTCTCGCCCAGATCATCCTCAGAGCTCGGGGCTCATCGAGAGGTTCCAGCGGACTCTAAAGGGGGCATTGAATAGGCTGGGGGAGACCAATCCATTCGAGTGGGATGAGGACATCTGCTGGGTCCTGTTAGGGTACCGGGCCTCAATCCATGCATCCACCAAATTCTCCCCCTTCTATTTGCTCTATGGCCGCCACCCTAACATCACTGGGAGCACCTTGACGGAATGGGAGGTAAAGGAGCTGACGGAGCTGTCCACCGAGGAGGAAGCTGATGCAGCAGCCCGGTATATCTATGATCGGTCCTCGGAGATGGAGTTGGCCTTGGCCAAGGCAGCTGAGAATCATGGTAAGGCACAGGAGAAGCAGAAGGCCGACTTTGACAGGCGTCGGACCCTCCTGGAGCCGATTCGAGTGGGGGATTTCATCCGGATCAAGCCGAATAAGAGGGTGGCTTGGGCGGACCAGAACCAGAAATACAAGACCCTTTTCCGGGTCAAGGAGGTGGAGGCCTTCCATGTGGTGGTGGAGGCAAAAGGGGGAGTGGTCTGGCGGGAGTCCAAGGAGAATGTGAAGGTGGTGCCGGTGATCATTTGATTTAGACCCATCCCTAAAATTCTAGGGGTAGGCTAAGGCTCATCCAACCACATCCGACCCCTTTTCCTTGTGTCAGGAGCCACAAGACCGCATCCGAGAAAGTCACATGTGTAATTTAAAGACCAAAGTCACTAGCTAAATTGGTCTACGGGTCAGGTCCGTCCTCGGGGTTTCTATAACGAGGATGGATGGCCTATAGGGATTTAAACACTACTAGGGCAGAGCCGAGGAACATTGCTTAGGCATGCTAGGCCAATAGGGGAATGCCCCTTTGGCGAATGGTCGGTGACAAGCACCCTAGCTAGGGTAAAGAGGTCCGGTAGCCAATGGCTAATCACCTTGGGTCAATCCCTTGGTACGGACCTCGGCGGTAAAGCGCCTTGGCTAGATTAATTGATCCGGTAGCAAACCGCCTTGGGCTCGTCCCTTGGCGCGGATCTTGGTGGATGGATGCGTTGGATCTAGACGGCAGCATTTCTATAAGCTGCGTAGGTACCTTCGGTCGGAGGTATTCGGTTCGATAGCGACTCGCCTTGGGTCAATCCCTTGGCGCGAACGTCAGGAGCATTGAATCCGATCGGCAGCATATTTTATATGCTGCCGAGAGGATCGATCCAGATAGCGACGCGCCTTGGGTCAACCCCTCGGATGCGGACGTCAGGTACATTGGATCCGGTCGGCAGCATATTCCGAAACACCACAGCCTGGAGAAAACGGTCCGATTGGCAGAAAGCATATCTCTAGTAAGATGCCACGGATCGGTCCAGTAGCAAATCACCTTGGGCCCGACCCTTGGTGTGGACCTTGGTGGATACATTGGGTTTAGACGGCAGCATTTATCTAGTAGCAAATCACCACGGGCCCGTCCCTTGGTGTAGAGCTTGGTGGAATGCGTTGGATCTAGATGGCAGTATAGCCAGTCCGATAGCGGCTTGCCTGGGTACGAACCTTGGTGAGAGATGCGTCGGATTGGGCCGGCAGCATTTACCCCTGACTAAGCAAAGTGAACCCGCTAGGGGGATCTCGGAAAGTTCTAGGGATGAATCCTAGGGGAATGGCCCTCTAGGGATGGGCTAAATACAGTGGTTTGGGTATGCCCTTCCACAATATAAGCCTAGAGAATCCTTGTGTGTAAACATAATCGATTAATGAGATCATTCTGCCCAAATCTCTTGCTACCAAGCTATCATAGTGGACGCACTCTGAGCCTTCTTGTACTACTCGGAGGTACTGCCGGCGGCCTAGTGACTAGGGGCGTGCTGTCGCTCTAAAGGAAGGATAGCCCGAAGAGTGGGGTTAGAGCTTCGATTAGAGGACCACGAGCGGTTGGAGAGGCGCCTAACGTGCCACACGGGTGGTATAGGACGGTTAGACCCTATAGGCGGACGCGTCTGTAGGACAGGAAATTTTAAAAGTTTCTAATTTTGTGGTGGCCCATACAGGTCCCTCTCTCCTTTTGGCTGAGAAAACGAACCCGACCCATCCGAGCATCATGTCGAGCATAGCCGCAGCCATGGGGCAGCTGCCGCGTTTTGATGGCCGTGCACCGAACCCTAAAGTGTGGATTAGTCAGGCTACACGTGCCATACGGTGTTTCCTATCCGCCGTAACCGAGGATCAGCAGTTGGATTACCTCCTTATGCACCTAACGGACTCTGCTTACGTGTGGGCAGAGAGTAAGGAGTTCACGACTGTGGCAGGCTTTGACAAGGCGTTTCGGGAGCGCTTTATTTGGGAGTCAACCGCGAATGTCATGCAGCGGCTGACGGGGCTGAAGCAGAAACCGGGTCAGACAGTGACGGAATTGGCGGATGAAGTGAGGCAGTTGGCGGCCTACGTCCCCAACTACCCGGTGGCTATGTCGGTGAGACATTTCATTGAGGGCCTGGGGGATAAGATCTTGAGGGAGAAAGTGTTGGGTGGGAGGCCGGTCTCCCTGGAGGCAGCCGAGGAAGCTGCTAAATATTTTGTGTCCTATTCGCTACCTATGGGGATAGAGCCGGTGCCGGAAGCTGCTAAGGAAAAGGGCCTGGGGAATAAGGAATCCGAGGTGGATAAGATCACCAAGCAGCTGGAGAAGCTGAGCATCCAGTTGGCCCAGATGCAGCAGGGAAGGGGAGGCGGCTTACTCCCTAGGCCGGCAGGAGGCGGATTTAAATGCTACCAATGTGGGCAGGAGGGACATATGGATCGGGACTGCACCCAGAAGGGACGGACGGCGCTGAACGTCATGCAGCAGGTCCTGGAGGGAAAGGCCCCAACTATAGCCGAGTTCCTTAATGGGGAGGAAGGAAAGGTGGACATGCTGGTCGGACCCCGAAAGCGGCAGGCGGTCCGGGAGCCGGAAGGATGGGGAATTGACGAGGCAAGGGAAGAGCTAAGGAAAAAGCTGGCCGAATCTGGTGGAGCTGATGAAGCGGCTAAGGGGACCCGATTCGTACGGAGGCCACGGGTATCCGCCCTACCCAATTCATACAGCGTGGTGGACCAGCTGAAGCTCACCCCTGTCAGCACCAGTGTATGGAACTACATAAGCGACAGTGATAAGGTGAGAAAGGAGCTTTTGGAGGCCCTGAAAATGACTGAGGATAAGGGGAAGGAGGATGGGGCAGCTGCCATGCAAGGGGTTTCGAAAGTGGTGGCAGCAGCTCCGCGGGAGACTAGGCACGAGGATCCGATCCCGAGCAACCTAGTTTTCCAAGTCCCACAATGCGATGTCCACCTAGGCAAGCATCGTCTGACTGCCATAGTCGATTCCGGAGCATCCCAGACGGCTCTCTCTCACGTCATCGCCAGGAAGTTAGGGTTGCTGCCCTACCTCCAGGATACCACAATAGAGTATACCACCTCTAGTGGCGAGACGTCGAAGCCGTGGGGAATTCTGCCTGACGTACCGGTCCGGGTGGGGAAGCTGACCCTCCCAATCGACATAGCAGTAACGGGGGCAAATACCTATGACATGCTGCTAGGACAGGACTGGATTTACTCGGCTAATGCGGATATCCTGACCAGCAAGGGGCAGATAGTGTACCGGGTCAATACCAAAGAAACAGACTCGGTTCCTATCACCACTGGACCCGTCGGCACGGGTGGCCGTCCCTCCTATGTGTCCCTCCCGCCCCAAACACCCCGCAGGAATGATCAAAAACCTTCTCAACATTGGTCCGGAATGGAGGAGGAGGAATTCCAGCGGTGGTTGGAGGAGAAGCAGCTCCTCCTGGCCGAAGAGCAGGGGCGCATCCGGCTGACGGAGGAGGAGGAGGCGGACTATTGGGCGTGGGTCCAGGAGGAGGAGTTGGATCGGGCAGAGCTGGAGGTGCTGGAACTCAAGGAGCATGAGTTCTACGAAGAGCCCGAGGTGGACGGGCTCGATGGCATACCCGAAGGAGGTAAGCCAGAAGGAGAAGTCGGGACGGATGATGATATGCCTAGCCTCTTTGGGTCGGATGGTGAACACTATTCTGACCTGGGAGGTTCGGATGGGGATGAGATGGATGGGGAACCAAAATGGGACGTGGGGTATGAGGAGGCAAGGAAAGCTGTGGAGGAAAAGGGGGAAATCACGGACCAGTGGGAAGTGGATTCGATGGCGGACGGGGAAGAGTACCTGGTGGAGGTCAAGGAGGAAGGGGAGCTGGTATACGAGGGGAAGGGGCACCGGATCAGTCCGGACTACCTGTTCGAGCTATTCAATTACCCAGCAGCTGAACGTTGGCAATACATAGCAGCTGCAAAGGGGGATGAAGGACGGATAGTTCTCGGTAGTTATTACAGCCTCAAAAAGGAAGCCCCGAGAGTTGCCTGCCCTGCCTTCGAGGACCTGCCGGTGTCACTCAACCACGAATTGGGGATGGATCAGCAGACGGACCTGAGAATGCTGCTGGTGGAGTACCGGGAGGTCTTTGCTACTGAAGCAGAACCGCTAGGAACCCACCCCACCGTCCTCCATCATATCGCCACAGGGTCAGCCAAACCCATATCCCACAAGCCATACCGGGTGTCTCCTTCAGAACGGGCTCGGATAGAAGAGGAGGTAGCGGCCCTCTTAGAACAAGGCGTGATCCGACCCTCCAACAGCCCCTGGGCCTCCCCCTGCATTGTCATCCCGAAAAAGGATTTTGGTGATCGGGTGGTGATCGATTACCGGCCCCTCAACGCGGTGACTGAAGCGGCGGACCAGTTCCCCATGCCGAGAATCGATGACATCCTCGATCGGATGACCGGGTCCCTGTACTTCTCCGTTCTGGACGTCAAGTCGGCTTACCACACCATCCGGGTGGCCGAGGAGGACATCCCTAAGACTGCGTTTGTAACCTCCTCGGGCCAGTATGAGTATGTGCGGATGCCATTTGGTCTGAAAAATGCCCCTGCCACTTTCCAACGCCTCATGACCACCATCTTTCGCACCCATCTTAACGCCATCCCTTATCTCGATGATATTATAGTGTTTTCCAACAGTTGGGAGGAGCATTTGGAGCACCTACGGGATGTCTTCGAACGGGTGAAGGCCAACCACCTGCTCCTCAAGCCCAACAAGTGTGAGCTGGGGTTCTACTCCACGATCTACTTGGGGCACATCGTGACACGGGATGGGGTGAAGCCGGATGCCGGGAAGGTGGAGGCAATCAGCGGCATGGTGGCGCCGACGGATGTAAAGGGGGTCCGGGAGTTCCTGGGGTGCACCAGTTACTACCGGCGGTTCATCAAGGGGTATGCGAAGGTGGCGCATCCCCTCACTCAACTGCTGCACAAGGACCACCCGTTTGAGTGGACGGACGCATGTGAGAGGGCTTTTAACGCCCTCAAATTGGCCCTAATTTCCCCACCCATCCTCGCATTTCCAGATTTTTCCAATCCCTTTATCCTCTAGACGGATTTCTCTGCCATGGCCTTGGGGGCCATCCTAGCTCAAAAGGATGGAAAGGGAGCGGAACGGGTGGTGGCGTACGCAAGCCGTACGACGAGGGGAGCGGAGAGAAACCTGTCGTCCACTCACGGGGAGTGCTTGGCGATGGTATGGGCGATCAAGCACTTTCGACCCTACCTCTATGGGAGCCGTTTCCTGCTGCAGACCGACCACTAGGCCCTGCAGTGGTTAATGACGGCCAAGGATCTAACGGGGAAGCTGGCACGGTGGAGTCTACTCCTCCAGGAGTATGATTTTACCATTTCCTACCGACCTGGGGAAACACACCGGAATGTGGATGCACTTAGCCGGATGCACCAGGGGTTGCACCAACAGTCCGGGGGGGAGGCACTCTCACATGCACACTCACCTCCCCTATCCCCCACCTCAAAACCCATTCCCATGTTCACAAATCTATTCCCACGATCACCCCCACCACCACCAGCTGGGGAAGGAAGCAGCAGCTCGGTTGATGGGGAAGGGGACGGCGGGGATAGTAGTGAGGAGGAGGATGGAGACGAGGTGAATGCCCATGAACCGGAGGAAATGAGCAGCAACACGGAAAAGCGGAAAGGGGAAGAAGAAGGAGAAGTCGTGCGAACCGGATAAGAGGAGTCCGGAGATGGAACCGGGGACGGATCCGGAGATGGAACCGGGGATGGCACCGGGGATGGATCTGGAGCTGGAACCGGGGATGGCACCGGGGATGGATCTGGAGACGGAACCGGGGATGGGGAATCCGAAGAGGATGAAGCTGATGGATCCGGGGATGAGGACGGCGGGGACGAAGGAGAAAAGGATGGGGAGTCGGATGAAGCTGAAAAGGAGGTGATAGCCCCGGGGGTAGGAGGGCAAGGGACGGACCCGGACGATACCGAAGGGGAACCAAGGGAACGGTCACCACCCATGACCCAACCCCTCAAAAAGGTCAAGCTGGAAAAGGGAAAGGCAATAGAGGAGGTCGGGACCTCCGGGAAGAAAGGGGGAAAGGCAGCAGAGGATCGACCCTTAGCCAGGGAAGGGGAGCTGCCGGGTAAGAATCTCGCATCCGAGACGACCACGCTCGATATATGGGACGACCTGCACACCCTGTTCTACCTGGAGAGCGGGGAGGTCGATCCAGCCTGGACCACGCCAGAAAAGCGGAGGGTACGGGCCCGGGGAAAGAAATTCGAACTGCTGGATGGGGTTTTATGGACCATAAAGGCTACGGGGGATAAGAAGCCGGTCCCTAGAAAGGAGGAAAGGGTGGAGATCATCAGCTTCCTCCACGGCTTGGGGCACCTCGGGGTCCCAAGGACCACCGATTTGGTACGAAAGCAGTATGACTGGTACGGTATGGGAAGCGATGTAGCGGCCTTCGTACGTAGCTGTCCCACCTGCACATTCCAGAAGGGTTCCTGGACTGCCAAAGGGGAGCTGCGGCCGGTCCCGGTAACAAAGCCATGGGACCGGGTGGTGATTGACTTCGTTGGCCCGCTACCAGTGACGGCAAAAGGGGGAACCGGTATATCATCTCGGCCATGGACCATTTCACTAAATGGCCCGAGTGCAAGGCGGTGAAACGGGCGGACTCGGAGACCGCAGCTGCTTTTGTAGCAGAAAGGATCATCTCCACACACGGCTGCCCGCTGGTCATCCATACTGACAACGGCCAGCATTTCCATGGGGAATTCGGGGTGCTGCTGGAAAAATTCGGGATTTATCACGAATTCTCTCGCCCAGATCATCCTCAGAGCTCGGGGCTCATCGAGAGGTTCCAGCGGACTCTAAAGGGGGCATTGAATAGGCTGGGGGAGACCAATCCATTCGAGTGGGATGAGGACATCTGCTGGGTCCTGTTAGGGTACCGGGCCTCAATCCATGCATCCACCAAATTCTCCCCCTTCTATTTGCTCTATGGCCGCCACCCTAACATCACTGGGAGCACCTTGACGGAATGGGAGGTAAAGGAGCTGACGGAGCTGTCCACCGAGGAGGAAGCTGATGCAGCAGCCCGGTATATCTATGATCGGTCCTCGGAGATGGAGTTGGCCTTGGCCAAGGCAGCTGAGAATCATGGTAAGGCACAGGAGAAGCAGAAGGCCGACTTTGACAGGCGTCGGACCCTCCTGGAGCCGATTCGAGTGGGGGATTTCATCCGGATCAAGCCGAATAAGAGGGTGGCTTGGGCGGACCAGAACCAGAAATACAAGACCCTTTTCCGGGTCAAGGAGGTGGAGGCCTTCCATGTGGTGGTGGAGGCAAAAGGGGGAGTGGTCTGGCGGGAGTCCAGGGAGAATGTGAAGGTGGTGCCGGTGATCATTTGATTTAGACCCATCCCTAAAATTCTAGGGGTAGGCTAAGGCTCATCCAACCACATCCGACCCCTTTTCCTTGTGTCAGGAGCCACAAGACCGCATCCGAGAAAGTCACATGTGTAATTTAAAGACCAAAGTCACTAGCTAAATTGGTCTACGGGTCAGGTCCGTCCTCGGGGTTTCTATAACGAGGATGGATGGCCTATAGGGATTTAAACACTACTAGGGCAGAGCCGAGGAACATTGCTTAGGCATGCTAGGCCAATAGGGGAATGCCCCTTTGGCGAATGGTCGGTGACAAGCACCCTAGCTAGGGTAAAGAGGTCCGGTAGCCAATGGCTAATCACCTTGGGTCAATCCCTTGGTACGGACCTCGGCGGTAAAGCGCCTTGGCTAGATTAATTGATCCGGTAGCAAACCGCCTTGGGCTCGTCCCTTGGCGCGGATCTTGGTGGATGGATGCGTTGGATCTAGACGGCAGCATTTCTATAAGCTGCCTAGGTACCTTCGGTCGGAGGTATTCGGTTCGATAGCGACTCGCCTTGGGTCAATCCCTTGGCGCGAACGTCAGGAGCATTGAATCCGATCGGCAGCATATTTTATATGCTGCCGAGAGGATCGATCCAGATAGCGACGCGCCTTGGGTCAACCCCTCGGATGCGGACGTCAGGTACATTGGATCCGGTCGGCAGCATATTCCGAAACACCACAGCCTGGAGAAAACGGTCCGATTGGCAGAAAGCATATCTCTAGTAAGATGCCACGGATCGGTCCAGTAGCAAATCACCTTGGGCTCGACCCTTGGTGTGGACCTTGGTGGATACATTGGGTTTAGACGGCAGCATTTATCTAGTAGCAAATCACCACGGGCCCGTCCCTTGGTGTAGAGCTTGGTGGAATGCGTTGGATCTAGATGGCAGTATAGCCAGTCCGATAGCGGCTTGCCTGGGTACGAACCTTGGTGAGAGATGCGTCGGATTGGGCCGGCAGCATTTACCCCTGACTAAGCAAAGTGAACCCGCTAGGGGGATCTCGGAAAGTTCTAGGGATGAATCCTAGGGGAATGGCCCTCTAGGGATGGGCTAAATACAGTGGTTTGGGTATGCCCTTCCACTATATAAGCCTAGAGAATCCTTGTGTGTAAGCATAATCGATTAATGAGATCATTCTGCCCAAATCTCTTGCTACCAAGCTATCATAGTGGACGCACTCTGAGCCTTCTTGTACTACTCGGAGGTACTGCCGGCGGCCTAGTGACTAGGGGCGTGCTGTCGCTCTAAAGGAAGGATAGCCCGAAGAGTGGGGTTAGAGCTTCGATTAGAGGACCACGAGCGGTTGGAGAGGCGCCTAACGTGCCACACGGGTGGTATAGGACGGTTAGACCCTATAGGCGGACGCGTCTGTAGGACAGGAAATTTTAAAAGTTTCTAATTTTGTGGTGGCCCATACAGGTCCCTCTCTCCTTTTGGCTGAGAAAACGAACCCGACCCATCCGAGCATCATGTCGAGCATAGCCGCAGCCATGGGGCAGCTGCCGCGTTTTGATGGCCGTGCACCGGACCCTAAAGTGTGGATTAGTCAGGCTACACGTGCCATACGGTGTTTCCTATCCGCCGTAACCGAGGATCAGCAGTTGGATTACCTCCTTATGCACCTAACGGACTCTGCTTACGTGTGGGCAGAGAGTAAGGAGTTCACGACTGTGGCAGGCTTTGACAAGGCGTTTCGTGAGCGCTTTATTTGGGAGTCAACCGCGAATGTCATGCAGCGGCTGACGGGGCTGAAGCAGAAACCGGGTCAGACAGTGACGGAATTGGCGGATGAAGTGAGGCAGTTGGCGGCTTACGTCCCCAACAACCCGGTGGCTATGTCGGTGAGACATTTCATTGAGGGCCTGGGGGATAAGAGCTTGAGGGAGAAAGTGTTGGGTGGGAGGCCGGTCTCCCTGGAGGCAGCCGAGGAAGCTGCTAAATATTTTGTGTCCTATTCGCTACCTATGGGGATAGAGCCGGTGCCGGAAGCTGCTAAGGAGAAGGGCCTGGGGAATAAGGAATCCGAGGTGGATAAGATCACCAAGCAGCTGGAGAAGCTGAGCATCCAGTTGGCCCAAATGCAGCAGGGAAGGGGAGGCGGCTTACTCCCTAGGCCGGCAGGAGGCGGATTTAAATGCTACCAATGTGGGCAGGAGGGACATATGGCTCGGGACTGCACCCAGAAGGGACGGACGGCGCTGAACGTCATGCAGCAGGTCCTGGAGGGAAAGGCCCCAACTATAGCCGAGTTCCTTAATGGGGAGGAAGGAAAGGTGGACATGCTGGTCGGACCCCGAAAGCGGCAGGCGGTCCGGGAGCCGGAAGGATGGGGAATTGACGAGGCAAGGGAAGAGCTAAGGAAAAAGCTGGCCGAATCTGGTGGAGCTGATGAAGCGGCTAAGGGGACCCGATTCGTACGGAGGCCACGGGTATCCGCCCTACCCAATTCATACAGCGTGGTGGACCAGCTGAAGCTCACCCCTGTGAGCGCCAGTGTATGGAACTACATAAGCGACAGTGATAAGGTGAGAAAGGAGCTTTTGGAGGCCCTGAAAATGACTGAGGATAAGGGGAAGGAGGATGGGGCAGCTGCCATGCAAGGGGTTTCGAAAGTGGTGGCAGCAGCTCCGCGGGAGACTAGGCACGAGGATCCGATCCCGAGCAACCTAGTTTTCCAAGTCCCACAATGCGATGTCCACCTAGGCAAGCATCGTCTTACTGCCATAGTCAATTCCGGAGCATCCCAGACGGCTCTTTCTCACGTCATCGCCAGGAAGTTAGGGTTGCTGCCCTACCTCCAGGATACCACAATAGAGTATACCACCTCTAGTGGCGAGACGTCGAAGCCGTGGGGAATTCTGCCTGACGTACCGGTCCGGGTGGGGAAGCTGACCCTCCCAATCGACATAGCAGTAACGGGGGCAAATACCTATGACATGCTGCTAGGACAGGACTGGATTTACTCGGCTAATGCGGATATCCTGACCAGCAAGGGGCAGATAGTGTACCGGGTCAATACCAAAGAAACAGACTCGGTTCCTATCACCACTGGACCCGTCGGCACGGGTGGCCGTCCCTCCTATGTGTCCCTCCCGCCCCAAACACCCCGCAGGAATGATCAAAAACCTTCTCAACATTGGTCCGGAATGGAGGAGGAGGAATTCCAGCGGTGGTTGGAGGAGAAGCAGCTCCTCCTGGCCGAAGAGCAGGGGCGCATCCGGCTGACGGAGGAGGAGGAGGCGGACTATTGGGCGTGGGTCCAGGAGGAGGAGTTGGATCGGGCAGAGCTGGAGGTGCTGGAACTCAAGGAGCATGAGTTCTACGAAGAGCCCGAGGTGGACGGGCTCGATGGCATACCCGAAGGAGGTAAGCCAGAAGGAGAAGTCGGGACGGATGATGATATGCCTAGCCTCTTTGGGTCGGATGGTGAACACTATTCTGACCTGGGAGGTTCGGATGGGGATGAGATGGATGGGGAACCAAAATGGGACATGGGGTATGAGGAGGCAAGGAAAGCTGTGGAGGAAAAGGGGGAAATCACGGACCAGTGGGAAGTGGATTCGATGGCGGACGGGGAAGAGTACCTGGTGGAGGTCAAGGAGGAAGGGGAGCTGGTATACGAGGGGAAGGGGCACCGGATCAGTCCGGACTACCTGTTCGAGCTATTCAATTACCCAGCAGCTGAACGTTGGCAATACATAGCAGCTGCAAAGGGGGATGAAGGACGGATAGTTCTCGGTAGTTATTACAGCCTCAAAAAGGAAGCCCCGAGAGTTGCCTGCCCTGCCTTCGAGGACCTGCCGGTGTCACTCAACCACGAATTGGGGATGGATCAGCAGACGGACCTGAGAATGCTGCTGGTGGAGTACCGGGAGGTCTTTGCTACTGAAGCAGAACCGCTAGGAACCCACCCCACCGTCCTCCATCATATCGCCACAGGGTCAGCCAAACCCATATCCCACAAGCCATACCGGGTGTCTCCCTCAGAACGGGCTCGGATAGAAGAGGAGGTAGCGGCCCTCTTAGAACAAGGCGTGATCCGACCCTCCAACAGCCCCTGGGCCTCCCCCTGCATCGTCATCCCGAAAAAGGATTTTGGTGATCGGGTGGTGATCGATTACCGGCCCCTCAACGCGGTGACTGAAGCGGCGGACCAGTTCCCCATGCCGAGAATCGATGACATCCTCGATCGGATGACCGGGTCCCTGTACTTCTCCGTTCTGGACGTCAAGTCGGCTTACCACACCATCCGGGTGGCCGAGGAGGACATCCCTAAGACTGCGTTTGTAACCTCCTCGGGCCAGTATGAGTATGTGCGGATGCCATTTGGTCTGAAAAATGCCCCTGCCACTTTCCAACGCCTCATGACCACCATCTTTCGCACCCATCTTAACGCCATCCCTTATCTTGATGATATTATAGTGTTTTCCAACAGTTGGGAGGAGCATTTGGAGCACCTACGGGATGTCTTCGAACGGGTGAAGGCCAACCACCTGCTCCTCAAGCCCAACAAGTGTGAGCTGGGGTTCTACTCCACGATCTACTTGGGGCACATCGTGACACGGGATGGGGTGAAGCCGGATGCCGGGAAGGTGGAGGCAATCAGCGGCATGGTGGCGCCGACGGATGTAAAGGGGGTCCGGGAGTTCCTGGGGTGCACCAGTTACTACCGGCGGTTCATCAAGGGGTATGCGAAGGTGGCGCATCCCCTCACTCAACTGCTGCACAAGGACCACCCGTTTGAGTGGACGGACGCATGTGAGAGGGCTTTTAACGCCCTCAAATTGGCCCTAATTTCCCCACCCATCCTCGCATTTCCAGATTTTTCCAATCCCTTTATCCTCCAGACGGATTTCTCTGCCACGGCCTTGGGAGCCATCCTAGCTCAAAAGGATGGAAAGGGAGCGGAACGGGTGGTGGCGTACGCAAGCCGTACGACGAGGGGAGCGGAGAGAAACCTGTCGTCCACTCACGGGG